TACCACACGAGTAAGGAAGGCAAATCAAGACCCATCTTTTATTTATGGGTAAGAGACATTCCAGCTCATTACTAATTGGGGTCAAAGTGATGGAAAATCCTTGCAAGGAAAGAAGAAATAAGATCCCTCAATTTTAGTTGTTTACTCTATGCAGTTTCCTTATTTATTTACGTAGCAGGCAATATGCCATTAGAATAAATAGTCTACATCTTGTATTTTGGAGGGCAAGGAGAAAATAGATTTCAGTTTATTCTTGACTTCTTGGTTGAGAATTTGGAGTGCGTACACTCGAAGTACGGTTAACCGGAGTTTGTACTTGCTCGAAAAGTACGTTTGATATTCTAAAGCGTATCACAATAGCACAATGCAAACAAATGGAACAAAAAAACAAACAAACTAAACAAATCTAGTGTGGTTCTAATAAATATTTAACCATTGGCGTCCTTCCAAAGTGTACGCTTAATTTTCTCGAGAGGGCCGGGTATTAATTATTGTAACTTGTAAGCCCCCGTGGAGCAAAGTGAGCCATGTTAGCGAGGAAATTCGCGCATCTATTTCCTTATCGTAAGGTGTGTTGCAATATGAGTTAATGATAACTTTCGAGGAGCACTCGAGAATCCTTGATCAACATTGAAGTGTTTTCCTTGTCTTCTAGCGTAGGTTTTTGCGATCAATATTAATCCTTGGCTGAGTCCCCGGAGCTTTACAAACTATTTGTGAACTTAACGAGCCTCTAAAAAGTCTAAATAGAGAAAACATATTTTATGGATTTACACTCGAATAAATTTATGCGATCTAATATTACCTCCATCCCAAATTGATTTAGAAAATTAACTTTTTTTGGTTAAATAGTTTCATTTTATTCAACTAATTATGATGTCAATTTTTAATTATTTCATATATTATAATTTGGAGTTTACAACTTTAAAAAAAATTTAATGTAATTTCTGAATACAAAAAATTTAAGTATTAAAAAGTAAATTAGTTATTAATAAGGAGGATTTAATTGGGATGAATTGAGTACACCTCTAACGACTCCTTTTTGCTTTGCTTCATCGTGAGGATCCAGCCCATATTTTTCTCAGGATCCATCAGTGCAAAATCCTTATCAAAACTTAAAAGGATTGAGTGAGACTTTTTTGGTTTCCAAATTGGAAGCCGGACATTAATTAATTTTGGACTGATTAGATGAAAAACAGAACAAATAATAGTCAGTGTGTGACAAGGGCGACATAAGAAATTAAGAAAAATAGGTGGATTAAGCATGGTGTGATCTCACCCATAAACAGAGACAAATATGTTTTCTTTTGGACTGAAATTTGTTGGTCTGGTCTGGTCTGTTTAAGTCTGGTCTGGTCTGTTTAAGTCTGGTCTGGTCTGGTCTGGTCTGGTAAACGTATGGTCTCTGTGTATTTTATAACTACGGAAGTCTGGTCTGGTCTGTTTAAGTCTGGTCTGGTCTATTTAAGTCTGATCTGGTCTGTTTAAGTCTGGTCTGGTCTGGTCTGGGACTGAAAACAGTCCAAAAGAAAACATCCTTAATACTCCGTATCTATCTAATAGTTTTTTGTTTATTTTGAAGCCCAATTATGGAAAACATCAAACATGTGTTATTAAAGTGACCTGAAGAAAAAAAAGGCTTTTTCCCTGTCATGACTGTCCATTTCTATAAGCCCATCTAAATATGCTCTGCAATGTCGGCCCATTAGAGAATGAGATCGCTAGCTAGTCTCGCCCGGACTGCCTCATTCTTTTTGAAAGCCCCAAACTGTCTAAATAATTTTTTTGAAAGGCCCGGACTGCCTAGATATGTTAATTGCAAAGAATTAAATGAAATATAATCAATCAAATAAATTGCTCAAGATAAAAGTATAAGTGTAAAACTTAAGTAGAGTATAAAAAGCAAAGAATGTTTTCTTTCCACAATAACTTATTTGGTCATACTAATGATGTTTTTAAATGAATCGGTTTCACTCCCATACCACACCAGATTAGATTAAACAGAACAGACTAGATAAGACAAGATTAGATTTTGATAGTTGATAAACAATTAAACATTGAGCAAACATTTGCCAGACTAGAACAGACCAATCTAATTAAAAACTCAAAGAATGAAACAGTAAAAAAGTTACCATAATATGAGTAAAACTGTTTTATTTTAGGAAGAAAATAACAATATAGCACTACTCTTATCTGAAAAAATGTGCTATGATTTACTCCCATTTAGAGAATTTTCTTATGACTCCTCTCACAAGTCACAAGTTTCCATCCTCAAAAGTGTTGGTTAAAAAGTTAATAAATTATTAAGATGCTAAAAATAATTACTTATCAACTGATAAATTATAATCACTAAAAGTTACTCAGTCACATTTTTGTCCATGACTTTTTTCTTACTAATATTTTATGAAAAACTCCTAGAATATTACTCAATCTATTTCCTTTCAACCTTCTCTCTCAAATTATCTTCAGTTTTCCCTTTCAATGAATGTATATTATAGACTCCTAAATTCTACAGTACATTAATTATTTTTTGGACAGGAGACAATTGACTTCATGAGCATGAGTTTGACTTCTATATATTCAACCAACTTGATCATGATAATCAGGAAAGTCATTGTAAATTAATAGTACTTCAAAAATGATTATTCTGTTGAAATGAGTTGTCAATATCGCTTTTTATATTCTTTTGTAACAGTAAAGGGTGACACTAGTTCAAAATAGAGGGAGCAATTTCTTTCATAAGTCAAAATCATTAATGTTTAAAATAATTTGAGGGATATTAGTAACAAGACACTGGTTTTACTTTGAAGTTTTTAAGCGACATGTTTGGATCCCATTGAGATGTTATTTGTCAAACATTTATGAGGGGTGGAAAGGCACAATTTAGATTTGACAAATACTGAAGTTGGATTTTTCCGATCTTTGTTCATAAACTTACTATTTCTTGCATATTACTAGTAAGAGTTGACTTATTGGAGGAGTTTGGTTACTTTTTCTGAAAATGATTAAATAAGAATTCAATTAATTTTTTATGGGAATTCACTATCTACTTTTTCAGTTGACATTCCCTCTCCGCACAAATTTAATTTTTTAAATATGGTGGAAATTAAAGTAAATGGATTAAACATAGCCTATTTTCAATGAAAAGTAAATACTTCATTATAACCAGCATCATCAATATTCCAATTGTGGCAGGCAAACAAGCCCCACCGGGTACATTCTTATGGTTTGGATCGGGTGAAGATACTCCACCTACGGTATATAATGATTAGAATGGATGTGATGAATTGAAGGATAAATGGACACAACTATTCCATTTGGAGAAGTAGCCATAAATAAATTTAACAATTCACTAGATTAGTTAAATGGATGTGTAATCAGAATTTTATTTACACTTTCAATGTAGGGTTTATGGTGTTCATTTCAATCCCAAATTTGTTGGTCTGGTCTGACTTGGTCTTGTCTGATCTGATAAATATCTGGTCTATGTGTATTTTATAACTATCCAAGTCAGGTCTGATCTAGAATTGAAAACAATTCAAGTAAAAACATCCTTAAACTCATCAAATTAGGTAAGACTAGAATTAGACTATACGAGACTTAGGGAGTGTTTGCAACAGCTTCTGCTTTAAAAAAAGCACTTTTGGAGTGATTTGGAAAAAGTGATTATTTGTAAAAGTTGATAGTGTTTGAGAAAAAAGTGATTTTGAAAAGTAAAAGTTGGTAGTGTTTGGTAAAATAAGTGCTTTTGGTGTATAAAAAGTGGAAAAGCACTTTTGACACGAAAGCCGAGAAAAATAAAAAAGTGGTAGTGTTTGGTAAATAAGTGCTTTTTTAAGCCAAAAGCTGAGAAGTGCTTTTTTTAAAGTGGTTGCAAACCAGCCTTTAGTGACTACATTTAAAAAAACATCCCATCTGTGACTCACACTAGTAATTAAACATATAAGTACTACTATCATTTAGGAGTATCAAATTGCTACTTTTGAACACTTGGTTTCGGGAACAGCCGTTTCTATGAAATAAAATTAACTAATGTACAATTTACAAAAACAACTAACATAATTACATGTCAAATTATTAAAAAGCTAACGATTGTGAAACAAGGGCGCAAGGCCCATACCCTTTCTCCATTACAGCTAATTAAACTTGTTTCAAATCAGAGCAACACGTTTTGGGGTGATCGAATGGGACTGATCGGATTTATCACAAGAAACTTTGACAAACACACCTTAATTGTGAAGGGATGGATAAATATTAAATATTTCACAACTCTTATCAACAATTTAAGGATTTCACAACGGCTAACCATGACTCTATACAATGAGAATTTGTGTATGATGTCCCCAACCTATACATAGTTTATGTACTCATGTATGAATGAAAAAGTTGGACCAAAGATGATAAATATAACACTTTGACTTTTACACTATTCACATATTCTACTTTGACTACATTTTATTTATTAATGTAATAATATTATTTTATGAAAAAATATTGTTAAACTTGTCTCATTGGAAATATTCATAATCTAATTTTTTAATTTTTTTACTAATACAAAATCATTTATATTAATGGTCAAAGTTGTGTCTTGGTAAGTGTGAAATGTTGATCATTGCATTTATTTAAGAACGGAGATAGTATTTAGGAAAACCATATCACTTACATTCTTATTTTGAACAAAATATATATTTTGAGAGCCATATTATTTATGCTCATGCTACGGGCAATTTTTTGTGCAAAAGTTATTGGTATACGTTGCCCCATACACGTTGTCTGTCAAGACTGTTTTTTGTCTGTGAAAACACTTTTAACTTTTTTAACATAAAAATTATATTCACAGTCAAGTCAACGTATATGAAAATGACGTGCGCATAACTATTTTTTATAATTAGTTAAACCCAAAAATAGGCCTTCGTTAATTAATGGAATAATAATAATAATATGATTTAGAGTTAATTACTCATATAGGACAAAAAGACTTGTCAAATGTTAAAATAGGACCGATTTCCGACATTATGTTTAGTAGGAGTTATTTAAGCATGAGTAGACCATAATACCCTTATTTTAAATAAGGAACTGCATTTCATTAAATCAAAGAGAATTCTAGCGCAGGGAATTCCAGGCAAATTGAAGATGCGCCTCTCACACCGACATCACCGTACGCCGCCACCACCCTCTGCCGGCGCCGTCTACCGCCACCCCTCGCCGGCGCCATATGCCGGCACCGCCTACCCCGCCTCCCTACCGATACACCATCACCGCCCAACTGCTATTGACATCCGTCACCGTCGTCACTGTGAAATAATGGGAAAGAGGTACTCCAATAGGAGTCCTGACAGATATATTTATAGTAGAAGAGTTGCCAAAATACAAAGTATTCCTAAATCGATATTAGGCAGATTCCTAAATATCTATTAAGTAGATTCCTAATTATATTAGCCTATTACACCCCCTCAAACTGTGCGGGAGATACAACGCGCAGGTTGTCTTTTAAAAAAAATGAAATTGCAAACTAAAAAAACACTCTTAGTAAATATATTCGTGAGCGGAAGATTAGAAGGCACATCTTTGACAATAAGATCTCCATGAGAATATATGTCTGCAGCAGCAAGCGGCGAACTCAACAGCGCGCTTGAAGCAAGCACCGTGGTCAGCGACGCAGAGAAGGTGGGCTGCGCGGACATAGGCAGCAGCAGGCGGCGAACTCAACGGCATGCTGGAAGCAAGCACCGTGTTCAGCGACGCGAAAGAGGTGATCTGCGCCATATTAGCCGCGCTCATCTTCAAAGGATCGGAGACTACCGTAAATGTGGCGGCAGTTGACCCCAAGGCGGCGGCGGCTATAATAAGGTTCATGGGAACTGAAAAAAGAAAAAAATTGTATCTACAAACCTAGAGCTCTTGATACCATGTGAAATAATGGGAAAGAGGTACTCCAATAGGAGTCCTGACAGATATATTTATAGTAGAAGAGTTGCCAAAATACAAAGTATTCCTAAATCGATATTAGGCAGATTCCTAAATATCTATTAAGTAGATTCCTAATTATATTAGCCTATTAGTCACAACTCCCTCATTGTTGTCGATGTTAAATCCCCACCACTCACCTCCGAGCACCGCCGTCGTCACGACTCCAGTGTCGTAGATCTGCCATTAAGTTGACTGATTTAGCCTCAAAGGATGATTACAAATATGCCATTAAGTTGGCAGATTTAACCTAATCTGCCATTAATATGAAGTTTAAGATATGCCAAAAAAGTGGCAGATTAATCTTGGAAGAACACCAAACTGCCATACTTTTGGCAAAAATATGAAATGCCAACCAAATAGTGAAAAATATTTTTTTATGAGTAAACACTCAAACAAAATAAATAATAAATTCACGAAACTAGTGACAAAACATTAGAAAAGAAGATTTACAAAAAAATCTTTTCTGCCATAAATGATATTCGGTGTACTCATTTTTGACATAAACTTGGCAAATTTTTAATCCATCATCCAAAAAAACTGGATAATTGAAATTTTTTAAAATTACTGAAATTTGAAAAAGGAAATGCAAAATAGAAGATAAAAAATCAACAAATCGAAACACAGAACAAAAAAAACAGAGGAATAGAAGAAAAATCAATTTCAAAGCAAAAAAATAGAATAATAGGAGAAAAGGAGGATGAAGAAGAACGAGAAGAAGGAGAAGAAGAGGAAGAGGAGGAAGAAGGAGAAGAAGGAAAAGAAGAGGAAGAGGAAGAAGAAGGAAAAAAAACTGACCAAACGGCGGTCGACGCGCGGCTTGCAGGGGGTGGAGTCGTAGGCAACATCGGCGGCTATGGATGTGGTCGGCGATGAAATTGATCTAATATGCAGGGCAGAAGGAATGGACGGATCTGGTGAGAATTGAGAAGAAGAGAAGAGATGATGGTGTGAAGGGGGAGAAGAAATTGATCGATGTGTACGTCGGGGTGCGAGAGAATAAATTTATCGGATGTGTTTTGCGGTGTGGATGCATCGGATAACAAAACAGGGGCAGTAATGGAATGAGAAATTCTCTATGTTTATAATAGGAGTAATTTGGTCCTATTTGGGAATAAAAACATAAGAAGTCTTATTTTGGATTTTTACCCTAGTTTTAGTCCTATTTGGGATAATTTCTATAATATGTTTAGAATAGACCGTTCACTCTCTCTCCAATTATTCTTTATTAGCAATAATTCCTAAGTAATTAGGAAAAGGTCAAACCCCACATCATATCAGGATAACCCAAGCACAAACACTCTTCATAAAAAGATTACAGATTGTACTTGGCCCAATCCGACGGTCCCATGCATCTTCTATTATCACTAAAATCTCTTCCACGAGTTAAGACCTAAGACACTGTTATCCAGTGGAGGACCTAAGGGGGGGCTAGGTGGGGCACGTGCCCCCGCTTCGAGCCCGGAATTTCAGTAGTAGTACTTAGGATAAAAACGGGTGCTTTGGCTTCATACCAGTATTTGATAATTAAGATACTAAAATGTTACGGTTATATAAATAAAAAATTAATACAAAACATTTAAATTTTAACTGAATTAAAATAAAAGATATAGAATTATCAAAAAACAAAAAAATAATTAAGAATTGAAAACAAAAAGTAACAAAAAAAAGTTAAAATGCAAAAGAGTAGCCAATGTGCGGGCAACTAAAACTGCAGAGTGATAAAAGTCTAAAAAGCCACTAACATTTGGAAGACTAGAATGATAAAAATTACACGGACGGTTTACGAATTACGACTTTAGGGGATGTCGCTGCCTTGGCTCTGGCCTCTGGGGACTTCACTATCTAGCTGAATTGATATTGCACCGCCGCACGCCTACACCACTCAATCCTCCCATATTTCCTTGATTTGTAAGTTTATTTTCAATTTATTCTGCATTGACGACACCTGCTTTTTAGTTGGGGGATTATTTTAAATATTAAAATTGTTGATAATCAAAACATATCTTCGCAATATGATGGGAGATGACTATCTTACAAATTGCTTGGTGTGCTACATCGAGAGAGATGTTTTTAGAAGCACCGATAATGAAACTATTATGCAACATTTTCAGAATATGAAAATTCGTGGGCTTGATTTACCAAAGTTGCAGCACTGAAATATTTAATATGTAATTGACTATTCTGTATAATTTAATACTACGTACATTTTTCTTACCATTTTTATTACATTTGAAGTTATTATTATAGACTAACTTTAGTGTCTAGTGTGCCCCCGCTCTCACAAACCTCTGGGTCCGCCACTGCTGTTATCATTGGGTAATTGTTCTCATAATACATACGTACCTTACCTATTAATTTGAGTCCACAGTCAATCTAGTTAAATTAAAGATTGCAACATTGGGCATGAAATATCCGAAGAGAAAGGATAGGAAAACCAATATCTGTCTGTGCTTATTGCACTTGTGATCGATATCACAATGTGATCGATAAGGAAAAACTTACTTTTTATACTCCCTCCGTCCCTAATAACTTTGCCAAGTTTGACCGGCACGGGGATTAATAAAGTAAAAACTGTGTGGTTGAGGTTTGTGCAGAGGAGAGAGAATTAACTGGAACCACAAATTCTTTACTTAAATGGGAAAGTGGCAAAGTTAATGGGACATCCAAAAAAGGAAAGTTGGCAAAGTTATAAGGGACGAAGGAAGTATACATTTGTCATGAGATCCTTCCTACAAAAAAAGGATAACACTTCATCCCTGAAGGCCCTCAACACCGACCGGACGGTACGATGAGAGGAGTCCTTCCCACAACTACCGCCTTTGGGGACGTCAGTGTACACGGGTTTACCCTTTCTTTCGCTTTCATGTTTATTAATCATTAAGTTTTATTATTGGAGCATATTTTGTATCCTTATTTGTTAGCCCACTTTGTATTTAGATTAGCCAAATATAGGGCTATGTATTTTGCATGCTAGATTATATAATACTCCGTATATACTATGTATGTATGAAAGAAAAGTTGAAGATACTTTTCAATCTAAATTTGCTGAAGATTTTTTTAACTTCTTTTTATTTAAGTTTTCTATGTTTTATTAATAAAACATATTTCAAATATTTTAGATTGTGACGATTGAACTAATTTTAGTGCTATACCTGAATACCTCCATACACTCGATCTATAGCTCCAAATTAAAATCAATTCAAGTTTTCTCGCGATAAAATGACTTGAATACGACGTGTAATTTTTTTTTTGTAAGCATTGCATTAAAATATGGATACACCACATAAATTTGCATTAACACCATTTCTAATTATTGTGAAAAAGAATGTAAATACAGGGAATGTGCCGATGTAGAGTGTAGACTCACTTATTTAAATCATCACATAATTTAAAATAGTGTTTTTAAAGTTGGAAAAAGTAAATCTTGTAAATTAAAGGCTTCCTTTTACTTTAAGGACCGTACAGTGTGTGTAGGTAATTAGGTATACTATAGTCTATAGCACCATTTTATTCAACCATTTTCCAAAAACTGATGTGAGACGACGGATATTTTCGAACTCACCAACTTGTAGAAAGTGAGGGGTAAAGAACGACTAAATTATGGAAATTATGGAATGATTGGATTTGAATTTCTCAAACAGAAACAGAAGCTTGAGGTGTTTAGGTGAAATTCCAGAAGCACTTCTGGTGCTCTAATTTACTCCCAGAATCAATTTTTTTTAGAAGTTGGGGGTACCAGATTCTGAAAACTGATTCTGATTCTGCTTCTGCTTTAAATAAAAAAGAAGTAGAAGCAGAATCAGTTCCAAACACCCCTATATCACCTTTGACTTTCAATGAAATACGGAGTATAAACATTTGGATTCAAAAAAGTTATCAAAATATGACTAAATTACCTGAAACCCTAATCTCAATCCCTCTTTTTTCTCCAACACCTACATGGCTACATGTCAATTGTAATTGTGACAGCCGCCCCTCAACCACCTCCGGCTTAGAAATGGCCGCCACATAACGCATTCGTCACTGATGTAGTTGTTACTTCACATAAATATTACTCCCTCCGTCCCACTAAGATGGTCCTATTTTACTTTTTCAAAAAATCCCACTAAGATTGTCCCATACAAATTTGGTAAAGTTTGTGTGACTCTAAAGCATTCGTACTATACTTTTACTTTATCAATTTAATATCAACCACACAAACATATTTTTCTTAATAATCTTTTCATCTTCTCGTGTCCCAATCTTAGTGGGATGGAGGTAGTATCAAATAAATTATCTATCTCCTTATTTGAATGATTTTATAAAATTTTGATAAGTTTTTCTCCACAATGTCAAGGAGACCGTCTAGATGTTGACATTGTGGTTGACATTGCAGAGAAAAACTTACCAAAATTGTATGAAATCATACTCCGTATAAATAAGAAGAGAGATAATTTATTAGATAATATTTATGTGGTTGTCTCTCGTGCCACATGTGCACCGTGCACATTGTAGCATTGGAGATGCTCTCAACTCAATGATGTTTTCTTTAGTACTATTTCAATCCCAAACAAACTTAAACACACCAAATCATATCTGACTTAAACAAATCAAACCAAACCAGACTTTCAGAGTTCAAACTAGATCATACTTAAACGGACCAAACCAGCAAATTTTAATCCAAAAGAAAACATCCCAATTATGTGATGCAGTTGTTGATAAAGAATAATGAATTTATGATTTAAAATAATTGATGCAGTACTAATAAATCGATAAAATAAAAATAAAATAAAATGATTTAAAACCGTACGCGTGCAAATATGTTTAGCCCAAGACAATCTTAATGGACAACACAATTATAAAAAGGGAAAATCAATATTAGCCCCCTGAGGTTAGGCCATCATTATTAATGCAACCTTGCATTTTCAAAAATCAATTACTTAATCCCTGAGTTTGTATCATTATCACTGTTTGTCCACTCTCGTTATTATTTGTCATATTAAATTTAATATAACTTTTAAATTTAGGCAAAGTTGTCTATAAAATTAAATTTTAAAGTAAAATACAATTCAATATCATAATTATAAGTCATTCTTGTTGATCCTTATTTTTTACTTATCTACCCGATCATAGAATAAATTTAATGAATGTTGTTAAGAGAGAAGACTCACGAGTAAGATATAAAATATCACAAATTTTTATCTTTTCTAATTTAAAAAGTAAATATCATTTAATCATATTAAACTAATAATTTTTTTGCGGAGGAAAAATTATAAAAAATTAGTAATAGAATTAATAAAAAAAATCAAAATCTATGATATACATATGTCAGGTCTTAGATAGATTGACAACTTACAATTATTCAAACCAACATTCTATATTTTAGGTTCGTTATTAATACTAAACCAATCTTTTAGATCATTGGTTGATAAAATTCCTTTTTTTCTTGGTATTTCATCTTTGCTACACACGAAACAATTGTCATTGAGATTAATGTAGATGGATGAATTACAAATAGGACTTTTATATTCATGATGAAGAGGTGTCTAGAATTCCAATCACAATATTTCAAGCAATTTTATTTGATATATCTCATGAATATTACTCAGATCATGAGTCTTTTACCTTGGCTACTTTCATTAATATTTTTTATTCCACAATCAAGTAGCTAAGTACAAACATAAAGACCAAGAAAAATGATTTCCAATTATGATAACAAAGTGTAATTTACTTTTAAAATTTAATTTTATAGACAATTTTCATTGAGCTTAAGAGTTATTCTAAATTTAATTGAACAAATATCAACATGAGGGGCATACAGTAAGAATAATCAAAGGTGAGGGGTAACCGGGTAACTAATTGATTTTTGAAAATGCAAGGTTTCATTAACAATTATGACATAACCTCAAGGGTTAATAGTAATTTTCTCTTTTAAAAATGGGCAGGACTGCAGGAGTAACATATTAGTCTAAGGTTGTTTCAATATGAGCAATATTATAGAAAAACTCAATACTGAATAATCAAATACAAGTGCCTTACAACTTTTTGCATTTAATAAGTATAACTGTTTAAACATCCACTACTGAAACAGGACTCCCGGCCTCCCGGGCTATATTATAATTTTAAAACAGTAAAAGGGCTTCTGTCATTCACCACTAAAACACCAGGCAACCCCACATGCCCACCACCGACTATACTTTTTTTCTTTCCTAATAATGCATACATACATGATACATAAAATCAGGCAGCAAATCAAAGGTGCCTTTGACAATTTGGCCACAACCTATCCGGTTATTTTATAACACGACACCGAACAGCGTCTTTGCATAAAGACCCAAGAAGACACGGAAAACAAAGGTTGTGGCACCCTGGCATCTGACTAGGATTTCCATTTCAAAAGGTTCAAAGAAAAGGTGAAGGGCATTATGTGAAAGTGGTGTTTTCTTATGAAGGAGGATTTGTTTCAGGTTTTAAGAAGCTAGGAGCAGTGGTGTTTTCTTATGAAGGAGGATTTGTTTCAGGTTTTAAGAAGCTAGGAGCAGTGGTGTCTGGGGATTGGGAGTGGTAGATGGCGGAAGCAAGGGAGATTGGCATAATGCAGAGGGCCTTGGACTGGAGAAATTGCATTGCTGCCCCAACGTTTTCTTCCATCAGTTTAGCGACCTGTCTTTCCGTTCCGTCGTTTGACCATTTCTCCCACGCCGGTTGACTTTTTCCTGCTTCTCCGCCCTCTTCCTACAAAATGATTATACCAAACTGTCTGGTTAAGTAAAATGGATTGCATGGTTTTGCATCACCAAGTTGTAACCAATTCTTGCAACACATTTACCTCTGACAATGAAATTGGCATTTCAGTTACTAATGGTGCAACTGCCCCAGCCCCTCCCAATCTGCTCATGCTCAACACCTGTAGTTTATGATCAGATCATTTAAAACACAATAACACAGAAATTTGGCTGGTATCTTGGCTTTGTTCGTTCGCTTTATATGATTTATTCTGCATATTCAGATTAGAGCCCATTTTGAAGCCTGATTTGGCTGAAATTAAGTTTAACAGATGATATTCCATCCTGAAAACTCCACAGATTCAGCCATCCATTTCAGATAAATAGCCCTTACCAAACAGGCTCTAAGTAGCTTTGGACTTATTTGGTCAAAATGGATGTTACCTAACGCTTTTCCCTTTAGAAAATTCATAAGATTTAAACTATTAAGTTTATGCTAAATAACTTTTGCCAAAGAGGGCCTAAAATTTACTCGTTTTGACTTGTTTGGCTTATAATCTGAGGTGGAAATTAACAAAAGCAAGTCTTTCAGAAAATTCAGTAGATTTGTCCATTTCACTCTTCATGCTCACTAACTCAGTCACTCTCGAAGTCTCGAGACTAGGGAGGGAGTGTTCATGAGTTCCAGAAAGTTTACTGACTAGAAATACTCTTCAAAGACTTGTTTTTTATTGAAAGACATTTTCTCATTTCGGGTTTCACGCGTTGAAGCCCAGCCTAAATTTCACGGAAATAACTCTTGCCAAACAGACCCTATACATTTACCAGTTCAGCTCAAGTACAGTAACTTCATTGACCGTCTAGGTTGGACTGAGAGGATTGAAGTAGCCCCACCATTTGCATCATAATACAAAGTAGATTCCTTCCAAAAGGATAAGTGCAACTCCTTGTTTTAACTTAAGCAATGCATTATTGAAATAATACACATCCGTTCCTTTTTTAGGATTTGAATGTATCTAGACCTCCTACATAATTTATCATTCTATTAAAAGCCCACACATGCCATAAAGGTTTTAAAGAACAGAAGGAAAACAATAGTACTCTATTGATCGGGAGATGCAAACTTGCAATATTGTAAATCCAGTAGTTCTCAAGGAAAAAGAATAAGACAGTCCCGACAGATGGAAATATCTTTTGGCCAAAGGGAAAAAAGTCATGCTTTTCCATTATAGACAAGACACACAGAGAACCACCACCACAACAACAACAACAAAAGCTCCTCATTATCCATAAATAATTACGTGAAAACCTCTTAAAGTGAATGAAGTAGGCTGTTTACCTTGACTTGAAGTCTTAGGAACTTCACATAATCCACAATTTCATCAAGCATGACTGCTCTATCAGTCTGCATACAGAAACGTGAATGAGAAAACCTTTGAATAGGACATACACTAGGATATTTTAAAATTTCTAAGAAAAAATTTAATATGTGAACTTTTCGAAGAAGTTAGATCTAACATAATACTTAAAACAAAAAGTTCCCATAATAGGAGTAAAACATGGACCAAGTTCACAAATGCGACAAATTATATTTACTTCCCGAAGTATAACTCAGTTAGTCCTAATTAAATAATAAATGCAGTTAATTTTCTTCTTGTATGAGCGGATGTCCTATTTGAGGAAAGTTGTTATGTTTTGGATTACGTACGAAATTTTCTCAACAACACACTAAGGTAATGTTTAATAAGCCGTACTGGAATTTTGTGTGATCAAATGAATGTTTAAGTAAAACTTAAATAAAAAAAGACCTAAATTTCATTACGGCAAACAAGAGTCTAACCATCTTCTATTCTCACATGTTATATTAAGCACTTGTGGGTGTTGAACTTGATTGAAGCTAGAAAAAGAAGGAGAAGGGGACCTTATTAACATTGGGAACCAACTCTTGCAATGCTCGAATCCTTTCTGCTATTCTTTCCCTGCGCAACTGTGAGAAAAAAATAAATAAATCGACTGCAGGTAAATCATTAGTATACTTGAAACAAAAGAATTGTTAACATATATATGAGAGGTATACCCTCTCAGCAATACTATGTGGATCAGTTGCCTGACCCCGCCTTGCCCGCACCCTTGGTCGAACTGCAGGTGGATGTGCCATATTGGGAACTGAGCTTGGCATCAGCTGGCCATGGAAACCCTGGAAGCATATAGTTGAAAACTATGATAATTTGGACAATTGCTTACACAAACTGTTTGTGATACCATCATTTTACAATCAAAGAAACCATATTTCCCCTAAACCTTTGCTTGGTTCAATGAACATGTAGAGAAGAGATAAACGGATGAGAAAAATGGATGAGAGGTAGTAGAAAATAGGTATACTTTGTGTATTGTTTGATAGGAAAGAGATTGAGAGTAAATGAGTAAGAATTAAGAATGAGTATAATCCTCTCCTACCTGTCTTCTTCCATGGGGTAGAAGAAATTAAAAAGCCAGGATCAATCATCTCAGCATCCAATCTCTCCGTTTTTCTATAGAAAAAGTCCACTCTTCTCACCTTTTTTTCCAAGCGAACGTAACTTCTACGTTTCCTATTTCTCCCCGACCAAACAAAGTCTAAAATCTTCTGACCTTCTTCCAGTTCACACAACTCTTAACAGTTGAATTAAAAAGAGAGTTATCTTAAAGCCATCTACTTTACTTCAAATTCTCAATAAAGGATCCTTGTTTTATTAGTGTTAACAGTCAATGTTCATAATAAAATCCCAAGGGCAACAGGAAAGTAGCTACAGTCAAATTAATTCTTAACGATTAGAGGCAAAAAAGAAAGAAAGAAACGAGAACTTACAGGTTTCATAGAAGATGAAGCTCTGTTATCCATCTTCATGCTGTGAGAAGATGTATCGTTCATCTTCATGAACTCACCTCTCCCCTGCTCCAAGCTGAGCCCCAGCGGAAACGGCGTACCAGTTGCGTGGAAAGGCATCCCCATCCCGCCCAGCCCCATACCCATCCTAACACCACCGAGGTGACCCGACCCGTCTCGGGAGCCGAGCTGGAGCATCATCGGAGACGCTGAAGCCGTTCCCGCCAAATTGGCATCGGAGACGTAAGGGGGGAACCCTAGGATTTGCTCAAAGAAGTCTTCGGAAGACCCGTCGGACGGATTGCTAGACATTCCGGCGACCCGGTCGTGTACTTGGCCTCCTGGATGGTCGAGTTCAGACCGCCGTGGAAACACAACAGCATCGACCGGAGAGGTGAAATTCTTCCACAGTGAAGTGTGTGTATGGGCTGGTGAGCGACTATGTATAACAGAGAGGAATGGAGAGAGAGAGAAGGCTCTGCTTTTTTGACTCGGTAATAGTTTCCACAGAGTAGTGAGAGCGAAGAAGAAAGAAGAGCAAATGGTGTCGCCGAAAGCTTAATGGCTTCCTTTCTGGTTCAAATAATTTATTTAAAGGAAAATTATGTAAACGTACATTCTCAGACGCTGTGGTAATCTGCCCCTAACATTCAACCTCATAATTAAATTAAATTTAGAAAAAAAGCCTCTTGGGATGTTTTTACTAAGGATGTAATTTGAACTGGTTTGATCTAGTCTGATTTCTTTTTTTTTATGATTATCCAAGTCTGGTCTAGTCTAGTCTATTCTGATCTGGTCTAGTTTGGCACAAATTACAGTCCAAACAAAAACATTCTTGCTACACATCCACTTGGACTCACATTTTTTTGCTACTTATGCGGAAAATATTTTTCATTCTTATAAAAACAATTGTCTCTCTCTCCTAAAAAGTGAATAATATGTGGCACAGATGAAAAAGTGAATATTATTTAAGACATCCGCCTGGACTCACATTTTTTTGCTACTTATGCAGACAATATTTTTCATTTTTATAAAAAGAATTGTCTCTCTCATATAAAGTGAATTATATGTGGCACAGATGAAAAAGTGAATAATATTTAAGACATCCGCCTGGATTCACATTTTTTTTTGCAACTTCTGCAGACAATTTTTTTCATTTTTATAAAAAGAATTGTCTCTCTCTCATATAAAATGAATTATATGTGGCACAGATGAAAAAATTAACATATAAGACATGTATTATCGATGTGAATACAAAGAATGATTGTTAAATTTAAGACCAGTTTCTTAAACACTATATTTTTCACAACTCAAAATGTGAATTGATGGGAAACTCAATTCTAAAAGAGTGACTAATTTTTTATATATACATAAAATCGTCTAACAAGATAGTAATATATTTGTAAAATATAAAGTCGTTGTCATTTATTGTGCCACTATTTGATTATTATGTCACTAATGGAAGTCATTGTCGCCAACGCAAATGTCATTGTCGTCGTGACACATTTCATTATGATTGTTGGAAAAAAAAATTGGTGACTTTTCGTCAAATTTTCAAAAAAAAATGAAAAAGTCATCATACGTAATTTTCCAATGACTTTTTCAGAGGTGATTTTCAGTTGCAATTCCGGTGACGGTTCCCAGTAGCGGCTGGGCAAGTGTGGGGTAGGGTCTGAGCAGAGATTGGATATAAATTAAGATAAAAAGAAATTTGGATTACTTAAAACAAGGAGTAAAATCTCTAAACAGGAATAAAACCTGAGCCAAATGTAAAAAACAGAAGCTATTTTTTAAAACTCTCTAAATAGGAGTAACTATGTGTTTTTGGACAAAATACCCCTCCAAGCCTACTGCCACCACCTGCTGCCCTCAGTCACCAAAGCCCGCCATCGCCGGTTTGTCTCCATCAATTGATTGACCATGAGCCAATAAATTATATTAGGTATAGAAAAGTAATATTTAATCCTATTCAGAAAAAATATTAAGTCCTATTTGCGCATTCACGTTTAGATTTAGTCCTTAAGAGATTTTTTTAGAGAAGTGATATAGTGGCCTAGCATAAGGAGTCATCATATTGAAACGCTTGCATTGTCGTTGTTGAGACTCGAACAAGATGATACGGAGTAGTCTACAATTTAGACTCGTAAGTCGTAAAACATTGTAATTTGTGTTTTGGACTTTATAATTTAAAAAACTCCATTTTGTATGGTTCATTTATACCAGATTTAAAACAGTTTTGTTTAAGTTAGATCTAATATGTCATGCATTTATGAGATTTGATATGTTCTAGATTGGTAAAGCGTGCATCTTATAAGGAAGTACTAGAACCAAATGGTCATATATGACTAATAGTAACTATAATACAGTGACATAGTAACTTTAGTTTAAAAATTGAACATACATTATTTTGACTCCATTACTAATCTTGTCAATAGTCACATTTTTGTAAACAATCTTTATTTTAGACATGTAATTATTTCTGCTTTTATTCAAGCACATCATGTGCACATATAAAAACATATCACTTGGATTATTGAGAAAACAACTCAGGGGTAAAGTTATGTAAAAGTTTACTTTGCCTCTCCCATTTTTTCTCCATTTCATTTAAACTTTTATGCCCAACAATTTCTACTTATTTTGGTATCATAATGTAGAATAATTTGATTATCTCATAAATTTTAAATAATTTATGAAAAAATTCTTCATCACCTAGTGGAGTCCATCCTATTTTGGAGACATAAATGCGTAATTATATTTTCACGAACATGATACATAGTATTACCTTCGTCCCATTCAAAGGTTTCATTTGCAAAATGACACAGTTGTTTAGAGGGTTTTTTATAAGAATTTTACTAAAATAAAACTTATTTACATAAATATGATTATTCATTACTACAACCTAGTGTTGTGGTAACTTAAGTCAAAAACTTGAACATGAATTACTATGATTTCATTACCACTCTAGTAACTAATCATATTTTTGTAAATCATCTTTATTTTGGTCATATTTATGTGATTATTTCTTGTTTAGATGATAATTAAATATGGTAATTCAAGTATATTTTGAGAAATAACTTTGATGATTATATAGTATTATGTGGCCATTGATGATAGATGTCATGTTACAAAAGTATTATTTTTAATACTTGATGATTAAATTATCATTTCATCATTTTATTCATTTTCATTTACCCCAGTGCCGCAAAGGCTCCTACCTACGGTGGGGTAAGGGGGGGTCGGATGTACGCAATCTTACCCCTGTACTAAAGCACAGAGAGACTGTTTCCGGATGACCCATAGTGAAAATCACGTCCATACTAAATGACAGTTTAGTGAGTCATTTTGCTTTATTCCATCATATTCTCTAGCAAAAAATAATGAATCTTTGGCTCCATTGCAAATGATAGAAAATACTAAATTATCGTTTAAGAGTAATAATTGTTTCCTAAAATATAAATGAGAACCTTTAAATGGGACGATGTAAAAAAGAAAGTGACAATCTTAGATGTGACGGAAGAAGTATCATACATACATACATACATACATACATACATACATACATACATACATACATACATACATACATACATACATACATACATACATACATACATACATACATACATACATACATACATACATACATACATACATACATACATACATACATACATACATACATACATACATACATACATACATACATACATACATACATGCATGCATGCATGCATGCATGCATGCATGCATGCATACGTGCATACGTACATTCATACATACATACGTACATACATACATACATACATACATACATACATACATACATACATACATACATACATACATACATACATACATACATACATACATACGTACGTACGTACGTACATACTAGGGCTGGGCAAAAGACCCGGTCCCGTTGGTCCATTCCGGAACGTTCCGGTTCCGTTCCGAAATTGTCTCGTTAAATTCGGGACAAACTATTTTGTCCCGTTCCGGTCCCGAACCATTTCAAAACAAAATGGGACCGGGACAAGTAAATAATGTCCCGTTCCGTCCCGTTGTCCCGAATTCAAATACTAATGAAATTAATTAGGTATTAGTTATCTAATATGTAGAACATCTAAAGGAGTCTAAATGATCAAGTATGAACTATCTTCTACATACTAAAAATAAACTCATGTATACTCCCACATGTTTCACTTCTAATAATATTATACTCCCTCCGTCCCACTAAGATTGTCCCATTTTACCTTTTCGGGAAGTCCCACTAAGATGGTCTCATACCATATTTGGTAAAGATTGTGTGGTTCTAAATCATTCTAACTTTATTCTTACTTTATCAATTTAATATCAACCATGCAAACCTACTTTTCTTAATAATCGTTCCATCTTCTCTCGTCCCAATTTTAGTGGGACAGAGGTAGTATTGTTTGTCTTTTTTATTTTTGTAGTTTCTTAGTATTGTGTGTGTCGGAGGTATCGTTGTTGTTACCGTTTGTTTCGTGCAACTATCCCATTAATCTACTACTTTTTTGTGTTGCATTTATCGTGAATTTTTATATGTTACATTTATTGTAAATTTTTTTATGTGTTGCATTTTTAGTGTTGTAGTTTTTTTTCATGAAGTTTGTTTATCGCTTTGATGTGTTTTTGGAGTTGTATTTTTTCGTTGCAATTTTTTTGGGATGTCCCGAACCGTCCCGTTTTGTTTCGGTACTGGTTTAAAAGGGACAACAGCGGGACAACGTCTTGTCTCGTCCCGTTCTGTCTCGTTATCCTAAATCGGGTTCGGGACCGGGATAGTCTAATTCCCGTCCTGTCCCGTCCCATGCCCACCCCTAGTACATACATACATACATACATACATACATACATACATACATACATACATACATACATACATACATACACACACACACGCACGCACGCACGCACACACACATCCATCCATGCATGCATACATGCATACGTACATACGTACATACATACATGCATACATGCATACACACACATACATCCACGCATGCATGCATGCATACGCACGCACGTACGTACGTACGTACGTACGTACATACATACATACATACATACATACATACATACATACATACATACATACATACATACATACATACATACATACATACATACATACATACATACATACATACATACATACATACATACATACATACACACACACACACACACACATACATACATTCATACGAGTATATCGTGGGCCTAAAATAAATTATAAATATAAGGAGAGTCAATGTTAAAACGGAAAGGTAAGCAACATCCCAATACTACCTCTTCCATCACATCCTAGCTCGACCTCTATTAACAATTCAAGTATAATATTCTAATTTTATTGCATTGCGTCCTCTATTGGTCAAAACTGACGACAAAGTTCACTTCTTATATCTAATTTTAAGTATCATATTTACCTTCTACCTTTATAATTACCTTCTCTCATGTATTTATCTAATTCAAGCATATGTAATACAATGTTACGCTTGTTTTGGAAACAATAGAGCATTATTCTTTTGTGTTAAACTTCAATTATATTTCATTTTTCTAAGTCGTTGAAGCTGTTTTCCTAAATTGAGTTTGAGAATAAGAGC